CCCACTGAGTTCCTGGTTTAATAGCAAACCTTCCAATCCCAGCCCCAGGTCCATGCCCTTTCTATTCTGAATGTGCACACGCTGGCCATCCCAACGCTCACAGCTCCCTTCCCCGGGACGCAGCCGGGCCTCACACCCAGGCTCCTCCAGAGGAGACATGAATGTCACTAATTTGACACCAGCAGCTCCTGCCTGAGCCATCGTTTATTTTTGCATTAACTTTTCACGTCCGAACATCTCAGTTTCATCTGCCAATTCCTAATGCAGCTGTACCCATGCCGCCCTTATTCACTGTCCCGAGCATTAGATTCCCTTCCCGTTATTCGTAGGCATCCTTCATTCCAGTGTATCACTTCAATGTCCAGTGCTTCCTCCCAGATACACTCCAATATCCACACAGAGGAAGAACTGGGATGGGGACTGGCAACACCAAGGTGACCAACCACCCTGGTTCCTCTGGGACGGAGGGTGGTCCCAAATGGGGACTCCCAGTGCCGAAACCCAGGCCAGCTGGTCACCCATAGCAACACTACATCCGCCCTGACCGGTTTGGCTCAGTGGATAGAGCGTTGGCCTGTGGACTCAAGGGTCCCAGGTTCGATTCTGGTCAAGGGCATGTACCTTGGTTGCGAGCACATCCCCAGTAGGGAGTGTACAGGAGGCAGCTGGTCGATGTTTCTCTCTCATCGATGTTTCTAACTCTCTATCCCGCTCCCTTCCTCTCTGTAAAAAATCAATAAAATATATATATATATAAACAAAACAAAAAAACACACATTACATCCTCACATGCCATGTATCAATTCTCATTAGCCCCAGACCTCCCAGACACACAAAGGAACCTCATGTGAGTCACTGACTATCTCTATCTCCTGTTTGTCCAGCAAAACCATAAAACAACCATGAAGGTCTTTACCTGTCTCACAAAAAAATATTACCTAGGCGAAAAATTTTTGATTGCATAAAAACTCTAAAAAAGCCCTGGCTGGTGTGCTCAATGGTTAGAGCGTGAGCCCTCACACCTAGGGGTCTCAGGTTTAATTCCTGGTCAAGAGCATATATCTGGGTTGCAGGTTCGATCCCCAGCCCTGGTCCAGGTGTGTGCAGGAGGCAACCAATAGATATGTCTCTCTCACATAGATGTTTCTCTCTCTCTCTCTCTCTCTCTCTCTCTCTCTCTCTCTCTCTCTAAAAATCAATGGGAAAAATATCCTTAGATGAGGATTAACAAAACATCTCTAAGGAGGACTTTCTCAGCATAGCAGGGCACAGAGCCACGTCCTGCGCTCGGAGGCTATGTCTGTGGCAGAGACTATGCTGACCCCCACAGGTGCCCACAGATCCCCACGGCCAGCGGGCACCCGCACACTGTGACTGGGCTTCACACCGGCCACATGTGTAAACAGGCTACAGAGATGGCCCCACGAGGCTTGCCTGCTGCGGGCCACCACACCCAGAGTGGCTGTCGGTCCAGGCGCTCACTGGCCCCTGCTCCGCACCCCCCACGGACACAGCTGTGCATCGGTCCAGCCCTGTCTCTCCCTCCCTGCCCGCAGGTTTCCCGATTCCACTGGAAACAGCTCCTGGGGCTGCCTCCAGGCGCCCCCACCCCCTACCCAAGAGCACATCCAACTCAGAGAGTGGACACACGAGAGACCTCCCAGAATCAAGTCCAGACTCAGGAATGGCGACTGTGTGCTTAGGTTGACGTGACATGCTGGCTATTCCCCAGGACGCGTCCTCTGGCCAGAGCGCCCAGTGACCAGAGTGCCTGTCCCCCTGCGAGGGGGAGTCTGGAGCAGAGGCCACAGCCTGAAGGACCAGGGCCAGGCGCCCTCATGCATTTTACTTGGCTTACAGGTTGTATGCAAGAACTACACATTAGCTGCCAACTATAAGAATCAGCAGTTTTCATATAAAAATCCGAATCTCTGAGCTGCTCTCGAAACTTTGGAAGATCTGGCAACACTGGGCCCTGCTCCTGCTTCCCACTCGGCACCCAGAGCGAGTCACACCTGGGCAGTCTCTGCTCCAGCTCGCAAAGTCCTTCCATGCCCAGTGTCCCGGACACCGAGGCTGTGCCAGTCACCACGCTTGACGAGGTTCCAGGGAACGTTTCCTGAACCTGCATCTCCACTGAGAGTGGACAAATGACATACTGCCCCAGAGGGCCATGTACTGCAAGAAAAATGGGAGAGACCATGATTCTTGGTGGAGGAAAGAATGCCGTCAGCGTGGAGACAGGGCCTCTCGCAGGCCTTCGCGTATGTGGCGCTTGTCTCGGGTCTTCAAAGCACCTAACTGCTAAGCACTGTATAAGGCAACTGTGGGAATTAAGAACATGAGCGAATCACCCTGGCCGGTTTGGCTCAGTGGATAGAGCATCGGCCCTTGGACTGAAGGGTCCCAGGTTCAATTCTGGTCAAGGGCACGTGTGTTGGTTGCAGGCTTAATCCCTGGCCCTGGTCAGGGCGTATGGAAGACAACCAATCAATGTGTCTCTCTCACATCGATGGTTCTCTTTCTCTGGCTCTCCCCCTCCCTTCCAATCTCTCTAAAAATCAATGGGAAAATACCCTCATGTGAGGATTAACAGAAGTACAAATTTTAAAAAATAAAAATTTAAAAAAGAATATGAGCGAATCTGATTCAACAGTGCACCCAATTGTAAGGTGTTGGGAGAAAGGACAGAAGGGCCATGAGCTCTCCCCGGGCTGTGAGCAGACCTACACTCTGCCCGGAAGGCACTCCCGACATTGTGAACAGACACAACCACCAGACCGCCCTGTCACCTCGCAAAAGTAATCACACATCACATGATCCGTTGGCAATTGACTGCATGGCCCTGTGGTCAACAAATGAGGGGCATTTATTATTTTCTGGATTCTCTTCTCTGGATGTAACTCATGCCACCCCTTCTCCAATGACCCGCTGTTTTCTGGAATGAGAACCCTGGCAGATCACAAAGGGACATGCTGGCGGCACAGAGGAAGAGGGTCCCGAGAAACACCGAGACTTACGTCGCTGCTCCGGGGGCGGGCCAAGGCCAGGCTGTCTCGGGCCAAGGCCACGATCACATTGCTCTTCTCTCCGGCCCAGTGCACCACCATCTGGTTGTGGGAATCATTCAGACTAACCTAGGAGACAAAACCAACACAGAAATTAGGGCCATGACACTCGCCTCCTGTCACTCAGAAACGACTACGATCCTTAAATCTGGAGCACTGGGCGGGGGGTGGGGTGGCCTATTTCTCCCCCACACACACAGATTCCACCAGCGTCAACTTCCCCCAGAAACTCTAGTCCTCTGCTCTTCGTAACATAACAGAACTGCAAAGGGTCTCAGGCTCTCACTGATTTGTGAAACCCATCTGGTTCCTCTCATCCTTACTCCACACATGTGACATGCGCTCCAACACAGCGGAACCTCTTCCCGTCCAGAAAGAGCACAGCCAGAAAGGCCGTGCTCTCAAACCTTCGTTGGAATGAGGGCTTCTGGGCCCCATGGCACGGCTCACCCTCAGCTCACAGCAAGGGCGAAAGAGAACATGGTCAAAACAGCAGTTTTATTCAGAGAGGTTTAGTGCCCCCAATGAGGAACTATTTTCCAGGACTCCACAGAAATGACCTTTGGATTTTTGCTATAGTCGTTCCCATGCTTCCAAATTTTGAAACCAGTAAAATGAAAGTAAATTAGAAAGGCCAACAGAGGGTTGATGGCCACTCCTTTTATGCCAGGTAAGAACAGAGACAGCCTCTGTGCCAGAGCATGACTCATGTGCTGTTTCCCTGCTTCCTGAGGACACGGCAGGCTGGGTGGGGTGGAACCCAGCGGTAGCAGTGGGTGTGAACCTGGCAGTGGGTGTGAACCTGGCAGTGGGGTGTGAACCTGGCAGTGGGTGTGAACTGGCAGTGGGTGTGAACCTGGCAGTGGGTGTGAACCTGGCAGTGGGGTGTGAACTGGCAGTGGGTGTGAACCTGGCAGTGGGGTGTGAACTGGCAGTGGGTGTGAACCTGGCAGTAGGGTATGAACCTGGCAGTGGAGTGTGAACCTGGCAGTGGGTGTGAACCTGGCAGTGGGTGTGAACTGGCAGTGGGTATGAACCTGGTAGTGGGGTATGAACCTGGCAGTGGAGTGTGAACCTGGCAGTGGGTGTGAACCTGGCAGTGGGTGTGAAATCTGCGCTTGGGTGTGAACTAGCTGTGGCCACTGGGTGTGACCCCACAATGGGGTGTGAACCCAAGATTGAGCTTCAGCCTTGGAACGTGAGGAAAGGTGTCAGGTGTCTCTGCCCGCATTCAGTCCTGCTTTCTTCCTATCCCAAAGCTGCTTTCAGGGCCCTGGCATCCCAGAGGGGCAGCACCTGAGGTAGGGGCCACGTCCCTGAGTAGAGAGCCTCTGCTAACCAGTGCCCTTGCTGTTCAGGTCTCATAACTGGGAGGCATGCTGGCACCTGAGCTCCTGGGAGTCATCAGGTATGTTCCTAACCCACCTGCCAGCCATGCATGTGCCCTCTGTAATCACCGTCACTCTTAAACAAAGGACATTGTAACCCCAACACCTGAGGAAACATACACTCCCAGAATAAAGAACACTTCCTTTAGTTTCTGTTATGGAAAACTAACCTCATTACTGTTTTTGTTTTTTTTAATCTTTATTGTTGAAAGTATTGCATAGGTCCTCCTTTTCTCCCATTAACCTCTTCCAGCGCTCCTGTCCTCTCCCCTCCCAGGCCTTCACCACCCCTTTTCTGTGTCCACAGGTTATGCATATATGCATACAAGTTCATTGGTTGATCGCTTCCCACCCAGCCTCCCTGCCTTCCCTCTGTGGTTCAACAGTCTGTTCATGCTTCTATGACTCTGGGCCTATTTTTATATATATACTAGAGGCCCAGTGCATGAATTTGTGCACAAGTGTGATCCGGCCAGCCTGGCCCCAATTGGGGCAGATCGGGGCTGGGACTGTCAAGAGAAGGAGACGGTGGGAGGTTGGCCGGCTGGCCTCACCCCCAAATGGGGTGGGGGGGCCAATGAGGGGCAAGCAGCATGGGGGCGGATCCATGGGTGGTTGGCTGGTCGGCCTGCCCCTGATCAGAGTAGGGGGGCCTATTGGAGGCAGAACAGCTGGGGGAAGGGGCTGCGAACCAATTGGGGTGGTGGGGGCCCACTGGGGGTGGGACTGGCTGGGGGGAGGAGCTGCAGGTGCTTGGCCAGCTGGCCCTGCCCCTGATCGGGTGGGGGGCCGATCTGGGTGGAGATTGGTGGGGGGAGGGG